GGAAAATATAAATGGAAGTCGACAAAGATCTGAATACATATCAAGAGCTTGGGAACTTTTTTCAGGCAGTAAATTAGTGGAAAGCCTTATGAAGAGAGGCCAAGAGTGTGTCAGAAGACGATTTCCGTCATTGTTGGCTAAAGAAACCGTGAAACAACCACAGTAGAGTTGATTTCAGACAATGGGTTCTCGAATCAGCTGCTCATCTGATGTACGAATACTTCACGAAACCGGTATTTTTTTGGAAGAAAACCAATGGCTTGTGTCCTACTGCGTTTTGCAAAGGCCCCGTTTAAAGTAAAGTCAAGATATCGAGTTAGCTAATTCATGTGTACAACGGTCTCCACTTATGCTATCACTGAACAAACTCGATGTAGATGAGTGGTCTATTTTGCATTAATTGGTAAATGATTCTCCTAATGCATCTGCCCGCTTGTTCTTTTGAATACTGAAATTGTATAAATTAGCAAGGAATACTAGAGAAAAATTTCATTTTTGCCCACATATATACTTTCATGTTTCCTAATGATGTCTTTCAATATATATTTTATATTTTCGAAACTAATATATTTACAGTAATAACCGTTTACTTAACGTTAACTGCTGAGAGCGAGATTCGAAGTAAAACAAATAATAGACGTTTTGCTCCGCCTTAAAGATAATTGAATATTTCCAGTTGTATAGGGGTCTCAAATTTGGCTTTGTTTGACTGAATTTTTGGAATGCGGAATCCATGCTCAGAAGCTGATTCCATAATCTATGACCACGAAAAGACTAATAATCATTATGCAGCATCTGGATGCCTTTGGTGCTCATCGAGCCAGCTGATGACATTCTACTTAAGTTAATCTGGCAAATTAGCTATTTCTTTTTTACAAAAGGGTTAGTTCGAATTATTTTATATTTATTTATAATACGAATTTTTATTGACTTCCAATGTTCCTATATGTTTCTATCATATTATAATGATCTAGACTGGCTTTGGTACGACACGCTTTCGAAAGTTATCGCAAAATTTCTGAGTGTTCCTAAATTAATAGAAAGAATGTGCTTCTCGTTTATTAGCAGTTTTAGTTTTTTAACTAATTTGGAAAAAAATTTACGGTTGCCAGAATTGCTTTTAGATCATGACGCAGGTGAAAGGAAAATATGTTTTTGTAGCACAAAAGTTCTATTTTTTCCATTTCAGATAAAAGCAGAACTTATTAAAAAAACGTTGCAGCAAACTTTCTAAAACTCTCGTTACTGTTCCAAATAGCCAGACAATTGCAACTGGATTTCTTTCGCCGGGAATGGCCGACACCTATGGCTTATTTAACCATTTCCTCACTAAGAAAATTGATTAGGATGCACCATAAGGGACAACGAATTACACCCGTCAGATTCGATTTATAAAACGCTCCCTCCCTCCCCGTCTAGCTATGTCACTGCCTTCTAATTAACTGTGATTTTGAGTTAATCATGGCTGTTATTTCCGGTGTTGCCACGGTAAATAGAGATTGGACTAATGAAGGATATAGTTGTACAGGAATATACATATAATTATTTTAAAAATAGGTGGACTTCGTAAGACTTTTAAAAAGAAATATCGAACTCGAATCTATAAAATACTAATTTTAATTTGCAAAAGGTCCTTAACTCTTCTTTTGAATTTGCTTATTTTCCATTCTCACCCTAAAAATAGTAATTGCTGATAATAAATCGCTCTAAACTGCGTCATTTTAAAGTTAATCATTCTCACACAGTTCTTATATAACGCTAAATAACATATGCACTGTTATAACGCTTCAGTCAATCATAATATTAAAATATGTGAACTGAAACCTAAAACCAGCCAGTAAGGGGGGCAGAGCTAAAATTTTACCAAAAATAATTTGAAAACTAAATATTTTTCTCTCGCTTGCTGCTCTGTTAACATGTCACCGTTTATCTTTCTTTTATCAAATGCATTGTAATAAAGATGGAAAAAAAAAAAAAAAAAAATGGAATAAGGTAATTGACTAAGAATAGGCGAGCAGATTTCGTCAATTTATCTGTGTTAGTATTAAAAAGTGTTATGCAGCAATTAAAAAAATGTGTTCATGGGTCCGATAAACCTCATTATTCCGTTATCTTGTATCTAGACTAGTATCTAGACTAGTCATCCACCATTGCAAATAATTTTTATTGCATATTACTTCCCTTATTCTAGATGCTCAGAAAACGACTTCCTCTAAATCTTAAAATGAATTTGTGCATATAGTGGTCGTTTTTGTCTCAATAACTGCATTTTGGTTTGCTTGTGCATTTTGGGTTTCATAGGCTGTGCCTGATGAAGCATTTATAGCGAAGAGGTTCAAGGAAAGAGTAATAATTAATGCTGTTGATGGTTCTGAAAATCACCACGTGAGAAAAGACAGTCTGAACTGTGACGAAGACAACGATGATAATGGCGGAAACCTGAAAATTGTAACAGATGACACTGTTCCAGTACTACTTTTCATTATGTTCTTTCTGTAACAGCGTCCTTCGAAAATTAAATTATTCGCATAAATTTGCCCTCTCAATTTTCTTATGATAAAATTAGTAAAAAAAAAAAAAAAAAAAAAAAAAAAAAAAAAAAAAAAGGAGGAAATACGCAAAAATGGCAAGTAAATACAATATATATATACATATTTGCGGAAAAAAATGAATTTATTCATCAAATTTAATTGAATTTGAAAATGAACACTAAATCGTTAATACTATTTTTGCGTTAATTATAATATGATTATTTCACTCTGATGTGTTTTTAATTGCCTTTCAGTTAACCATGATTAAATATATATATACTGCTCCAAACGTCTCAAACAAATCAACGAGTGAAAAAACAAACTTTGTAAAAAAATTCATCACAGTTGAAAATTTTATGAAATAATAAAGGCAAATGGATTTTACATCTCCCAGAGCGTCTCCATCAGATGCTTGAGGTAGCGGGAGAAGTAAAAGAAAAAGCCTGTTTTTGAACTGTCAAAGGCATAAATATACACGAAATGAATCTTAATTCAGGAAAATATAAATTAATAAAATGTGATTCAAATTAAATTAAATCAGTATGGGCATCCATCAGTCTAGTCCCTACAAGCTGGAATAAAAAGGATTGGTGTAGCAAGAGAATTAAAAAAAAAAAAAAAAAAATTCCTGTGACTGAACTGACAAACAGAGAGACTTTTTTTCTTTTACTTCTCTTTCTACCAAAACCTGAGAAAAATATGGGATATAAAATCCATTTGCTTTATTATTTTATGAAATTTTCTATTGTGCTGAAATTTTGTACGAAGCTTGTTTTCACACAGTTTGGCTTGCCTGATAATTTGGAAAAGGTCTGGTTTACTAGCTATTTTACAATAGTATATTGCATTTGCACAAAAATTTATTTTTATCGTTCATTATTCCAATGTGAATGTGGTTTGAATATAGTTTGTTTATGTTATGTATTTAATCAATTTCGTCTCTGAATTATTTCAGCTTGCAGCACATAACTGAGTTTTTGTTTTGAACTTTATTTGTCTATTGTGTAAAATTATATACATATATTCTTATTTTTTTAAAACTTTTTATTGATTTTTAATTATTTTGCATTTTAATGCATTCAGTTTAGCATTGTTCTGATTACATCATTGTTTATTGTCTGATTGTATCTACTCTTCAATATTATTTTAGTTATTCATTTATTTATCAATTATTATTATTTTATTTTATTGCATTTTCAGTATTTATTATGTATATATATATAAACGTATATAATGCATTTTTCGTAACAAATATAAATATTTTTGCTTTTGACGTTTCAAAATGAAATTGAGAAATTCAGAATTACACGGAACTGAAAAACGTGCTTAATTAATATAGTTATTTATCATTACATAGGGAATAACGTTTTAACTGTACTATTTCTGAAGGAAAGTTACACTTTTAAAGAGGGAAGTGATAGAAAAGTAGATATCTAAACAGAGTAACGAAGAACAGCTTCGTAACAGTAGAAGAAGAGAGTTATGGTTTCGAAAATTTATATCAGAATATGAGAAAAGTAAAATGCTTCTTATATGGAAAATAAAGATTACAGTAAAATCTTTTTTTTTCGGGGGGGGGCTTCGTTTTTTAGATAGACAGTTTTGTTTATTGTTTACTAGTTAAAAAATATGCACAATAAACTCTTAAAGGAACTGGTCTGTCCCATTTCTTCTTGTACTTCTTCTTTCTTTTCTTTTTAAACTTCTGTAACCTTTTTGGAAAATGTTCCAATTTTCCCTGTTCTTTAGAAAATGTTTACATTTTCTCAGAATTTCCCTTAGTATTTGCCAATTTCCCTGATTTTCCATACAATATTTTGTTCATTTTTGCTTTGTTTTTTTAGATGGAAATTTTTTGTTTATTATGAATTAACTGGTTAAAACATAGTGCACAATAAACTTTTAAAAGGACTGCTTTGTACTTTTCCTTCTGTACTTCTTCTTCTTCTTCTTCTTTTTTTTTTTTTTCTTTCCCACTTTGTTTTGTTTTATTTACATTTTCTCTGAATTTCCTTGAGCGTTTTTCATTTCGCTGCCGTTCCAGGATATTTTTTTTCTGTCTTTTTTAGATGGGCAATTTTTTTTTAAACACAGTATAGAGTAAACATTTAAAAGGGGAAGGGACTGGTCAGTACCCTTCTTTCTTGTACTTCATCTTTTTCCTTTTCTTTCTTAACCCCTCTTTTTTTTTTTTTTTTTTTTTTTAACTTTTCTTATCTTTTTGAAAAATGTTTTTCCTTCCCTTCAATAAAATGTTTACGTTTTTTTGAATTTTCCTGAGCACTTTTAATTTACTTGACTTTCCAGGATTTTGCAGACGAATGAGAACTCAGATAACGCGGGTTACCGGTTAAGTGCTCGTTCTAGCGAAAGATGGCGCTGCATCACTTGATCTCGAGTAACAAAGAGCAGAAAACTTGAGAAAGAAGCCAAACAAAGTCGCCGTAAGCGTTTCTTTTTACTATTCTCTGGTGGTTACGCTACCTGTTTCGAAGCCGGCGGCTGGTCTTTCAGTTTCCGTCAAGTCTGCCGGTAAGACGGGTTAGGTGCTTGAAATATCTGACGGAAAATTATTAACTGCTACCCGCTTCTTTCATTTAGTTCCGCACAGTATTTTGACAGTGGTGCTCATATTTCTCTAGTGTTCAGTCACCAAACGATGCTGGAATTTTGAATTAGGTAAAATACATTTATTCCCAGACCTGGCAACAATGAAAGGTAAGCATCTACTTTGCACTGATTGATCATAATTAATTACAAAACTATAATCATTGAAAAATTTAACAGAAAATAATTATGTTTATATATTTCTCCCCATAGATTTGAATATTACGTAGAAATTAAACCAAAATTTTTATATTTATTGGAAATGTGTTTGAAATTATTTTAATACTTTATTAAATTAAAATGCTTCATAGAATCTGTTACACTTTAATTTCACATAAAACTATAACTGCTGAGAAAATATTTTATTAATTAAGATAAATACTACTATTTAATATTTTAATTTTTTGGCTAGTTCTCTGTTCCTTATATAAAACATTTTTTGATCAGATTCATAAAATCATTTTATTTAAATTTAAAAAACCCACTGAATGAATAATATATTTTCAGTTTAAAAAAAATATTAGTACGTTGCTTATTTTTATTATATTCCGCACAATAAGTCTATTAAACTTAATCCATGCTAAATTAAATTAAAAAAATACTTATTAAAAATTATTATTAGATTTATTACAAAACACATTTTTTTATTTAGTACGCTCCAATTGCTTAACTGAAATGTGCTCTAATTTATGAAGCATGTAATAATATTATATATTGAAAATGTGTTTTTAATACAAAATATATTAAGCATCTAATACAAACATCAACGATACATAATTTAACTTTTATTTTTCAAAAAAATATACATTTATTCTTTTAATACATTGCAAATATGGTTCATCAGAAAATAAAATTAAATTTTCCGTTTACTTATTATTTTTTAATTTGCAAAATTATTAATATTTATAAGACGTTTTTCAAATGGACAAGGGACATTCCAAACGAACCTTTTATTAGTAGAGTAAAATGTGATTAAAATTATCAAGTTACAAAAAAGAAAAGTTATTCACTATTGGTAATGGATCATTTGGAAAAATTTAAAAATACAGGAATAGTGTTGAAATTTTTATGTTAATTATAAGATTTCTTTAAAGGAAAAGAACTGTAAAGACTGTGCAGGAAGTCTCGAATCTAGAGCTGAAAAAGTTTGTCATTTAAGCCGGATTTTTGAGAAATTGGGATTAATACAAAATTTGCCAATAATGCATAAATAATGGTTACTCTCTTGCTTTTAAATAACACTGTTTAGATTTTTTTTCTCCTGTAGGTTATTTTCTGCTTTTAAAAGTATTGTATCAGTAATAAAAATATTATGGTATCTTTTTATAATATCAAATATATCTTAGAAGGCAGATCCTTTAAATTATGAGTTTAAATTAGTTCCGGAAAAAGAAAATCACATTCATTATAAAACTGAAATCTATTATGCTAATATAATTTGATGATTCTTCATTTCGAAATATTTTGCATTGCTTTTTTCTCAGGTAAACAGTTTTAGGCAACCTTTAATAAATCATAAACAAAAACTTTTATTAAAAATCGGTTAATTTTGAATCTATTTATTTTGCTCTTCAAAATATTTGCAGGAATCACTTTAATATTGGATAGCGATAAATATAAACCTTACAATGCATCGAATAATTTTTAATTGTTTCTTTCATTACGTATCATTCGTATTTTAGCACATATTTAGTTAGTAATACATTATTCGTCGAAACTAAATTATTTTCATTTAATTTAAACAAATGATTTTTTTTTTTTTTTTTTATATTACTACCCGGTATATTGTGACTAGTTTCCCTCTGTATGGACCAAAAAGCTTTACTTCAAGCACGCATAAATTTCAGTCGTAAGATGCAGATGTGATCATTACTTATAATTATATTGTTAAACTGATGTGAATAAAAATATTTTCTGCTTTAAAATGCCACACGTTCGTATATACGCATCTGTGTACATGTAGATAATTTTTGAGACATTTTTAAATGGAATCCTAAGTTTATAATTTCAGTCTCACACTTATGTTTAGACATTCATGTAATTTTCTTATAAATGCAGTAAAATATAGTTGTAGTAACATTACTGAGAGTTTGGCGGACGCTGAAAGAATTACATGTAGTTAAAAGTACATAATTTAGAGCTTAGCACTTAAATTTATTACTCATCTGATAAATTTGGCAATAACATGATTTATTTCCCGTTTTGTTTTGAGTGCTCAGTATTTTTTAAAGATACATTTAAATTTTTTAAATATCATATGTTGTTGTAAAAACTCTGTCAAAATTTACAGAGTTGTTCCTGTTACTGGTTTATGAGCGTCAATGAAATGTTACCTTTGGAAATGATTAAAAGTCGCTTGCAAATATTGCACTAAAATAATTAGATCTAAAAACGCAAATATATACTGGTATATGAAACCAGTATATATTTGCATTTGTTGAATATGTTAATAATTAGACTGTTGTGCGCTGCTGTAAATTGAATAAAGTTAGAATCGGCAAACGTTGAAATGGGCTAATGCTGAAATTAGCTCCGCGTACTTTAATCTTCGCTGAGAACATTTGGAGGTTCATTTAATTCTTCAGATAGTAATGCATACATAGTTTTTTTTCTGCGTGGGAATTCCCTTGGTCGTTTCCGTTTCAGTTCCAAAAAGCATATATGTAGTTTCTTCTTCTATAACTGCACTTATTTTTCTAATTTTCAAAATAAATCCTTAGCATACGTAGATTAATGGAAAATTATAAATATTACTATATTTATGTATATTTAAAAACTTGCTTTGAAAAGTTAAGCTGACTTGCTTATGTTAGACATAAAATTAAAATGCAATAAAGCCATGTTCACATCAAATGCTACACCTATACATGAATGTAATTAAAAGGTTTCGTACTGTTTTCTAAAAAAGGTCTTTGAAAATGAATTATAATTGTTGAAAATTAACAGACTGGTATAAAGTAAGATTCAGACATTAGAATCACGAAATTCCTTTTTGTGCTATTATACTGCCAACAATTTGAGAAATGTTAATCAATTTTGTTCGTGTAATCCTATTTTAGGTTTATCTTAATCGTATGCAGTTTGCTGTTATCGTTTTGAAATAATTCGTTTTATGCATAAGAATATTTTAATGACTTAGTGATAAATAAATATCGTCGATTTCATACATGATTATCTGTGGTTCAATTTGCTTTTATGATACTACATTTTACAACAAAACAGATCGCCGAAAATATGGCCATTAACACCTATTCTGTGATTAAACTGCCTCAGTTTGCAGAATGTTTCCTTAGATAGTTGCTTAAGGAAGCTACAATAGCACTTGATTCTGGAAGTTGATTCATAAAATACACTAGAAAAAGGATTTTGGTATATTAATCCACATTTTCTGCTCTATATTCTAACCATCAAATTCTTCAAGAATTAAGGATTTTATAAATTAATCTAGTTCATTCCTACGTGGGTCAAAAGCGGAAAAAGTTAGTGATTTACTTCTGCAGTTTTCAAGAGAGAAATATAAAAAATATATGCATTAGCAAATATAATTGAAATACGAAACTGAATATCTTACGATCTCATTAACAGCTGAGTGGTTATAACCATTGAACACACTAATTGCCGAATCTATTCTTTAAGAATCAGACTGATTGTATAAGCGTGTTTATGACTTTTTCTATATATAATATAAATAAATCTCTTTATAATATAATGCAAATATAATATTTCTCTTTATAAAATATATAATAATTTCCTTCGAAAATTATTTCATGAAATCTCCCATTTGCATAAATATCGTCAGTACCAATTAGAAATCAGTAAGTTGCGCATGATTTCAAAAAATAACTAAGAAGTAGATAAGAATCCCTACAAATGAAAATTAACGTGTAGGGTTTTTGACGGAAGTATATGCCTAATTAATTTCAATTGAACTCGAATATATATGCTAATTCTTGTAATTATCCACTTAACAAGTAATGTAAACATAGCGTACACAGCTACGAATAATTTAAGCTTTTTAAGTAGTGACCAAGTTGATAAATTTTTAAATCAATCTGGTTTCCTCTGTTTTAGTTTATATTTAAATGCACGTATTCTTGATATGTTTATCTTTCGAATCCATTACCGAATAACATAGTAGTGCACAGCTTTACATGTTTCACGATTGTTCATGTACACAGTTGGATTCTGAAATACAAAAGGCGCTGCTTAATATGATTGGAGCTAATGCTATCATTGGTATAACGTATCGAATTGCCGAAGTCAAGCCCGTTTGTATATGAAAATATGGAAAATACTTCGCTAATTGTGATCAACGATTCGGCAAATATGAAAATATTAAGAAATTATTTTTTAAATTGAAGTAAAGTCACCAAGTAAGGTCAGAATAGATTTTAAAAATTAGCAAGTGACCAAGAAATGTCCCCAAGTAAGAGATTAAGTCACCAAAACGCTTGGTTTCAATTTTTAACTTCTTTTGGAGGAGAGAAAAATCTGTAGTATTTTCACCCCATTTTTTTGCTCCTGGAGGAGGGAGAATAAAAACATCTATTAAGGTTGTCTTCCCCCCCCCCTAATTTTTAATTTTACATTGCCATGTTCTCTTTCAACAAAGAATTCCTTCTAAACATTAAGATTAGGGGTTCTTCAGCTTCCAATAATTATTGCAACATTATGAATAGCTCATAAACGAGCTTTTGCACTAAAGACATCGTGAACAGTTCATAGCCAAATTTTTGCCTCTTCGTAATTAGAATGCTGTGAAAGTACCTATTTATATGTTTCTTATAGTAAATTGGTTAATTCCTTTGCTATTTTGAAGGGCACTTTTCCCCTCATCGCTTAATATTATATCAAAATAGTCCTGGACAAACGTAATCACATTAAGCGGCGCCTACTCTGTTTAAATGTTCAATATTTAAGGAAATAAAACAGCCTAAGTAACTCCATGTATAATGTAAATAACATGAATAAAAACATAATACTGCATCATTAGATAAACGGTGCATTACAGAACAATGGTGTAATTATTATAAAAGTTAGGAGCTAATTATTCTTTTTTATTAATACAGGAGCAATTAGTCGCCGATCTTTGTAATTAAATTATTTAATAA